TAATTTGACGAGGGCTTGATCCCTTGTTCTTTGGCATCTGCAGGATCCTCTCCATTGGACCCATGCATTGAGTGGAGCCCTTCAGCTGCTCTTGTTCCTGTTCACCCATCCTCCTTCCCCTTCCCGGGGAAGCACCGGGGCAGGACAGCTGTGCCATGTCCCCAGGACCGCCGGGAAACAGTATTTGATCCTACGGCACTGTCTGGTGCGGACGGGCTGCCGTCAGCCCTCGCCGTGGCAGGGGGTGGGAGCTGTACCCTTCTTCAGAGCCCACTGCATCACACCTAACATTGGAGAGTAAGGAGAAGGCAGCCGAGCCGCAGGCTGGGGCTTGCCTGGGTCCCCCCACCCTGCTCCGAGTGGCAGTGCCTGGGGGACATGCGGGTTCCGCCCCCATTTGGGAGCTCGGGGGCCCTCCCTTGTAGTGGGCCTTGGGGTCTTCAGTGGGCACAAGCAAAAGCTGCGAACACCAAAATGTCCGTGCGTGTCCATCGCCTCTGGGCACCGCTGACCCCAGGGGCAGTTTCGGATGCTGGGAGGAGGTGCAAGTGCTTGTTTTGCTGTAACCCCAAAATCCAGCCTTTGCCCCTGGGTGCCCTCAGGGAGGTTCCCACCCCCCTGGCCATCAGGAGGACACAGGCGGAGAGGTACCACCCCGCTCCCACCACCGGTGAGAGGCACACAGCCCCGTCATGCACCCCAGGGGCCCAATGCATGATACAGACGGAGCATAAATACCTCAAACCTTCCAGAGTGACGCTATAAGATCTCAGTCCCTCCACAAATTCACTCCGCACAGTTACGACCGCTCGGTTACAAGGCCCAGCACACCGGCATCCTCCACGCAGCAGAGAAATCACGCCCCGAACGACATGGGATGTTGTAAATCCAGCTTGTAAATGATCTTCACTTTGTTTTGTTCAGTCTTTCTGATGTATATCTTGCTTTTTTTGCAGATGGTACTTTCTGGTGTAACAATTCTCTGCAGTTCTGGTATGAAATTGGTGTATTTGTTAAAAAAAGTTTGTTCTATTGATTTTTTTTTTTGTGGTTTCCAGAAGCCCATTGGTGCATTGTACAATGGGATCTTGTAGTGTGTCATGAGAAAGAAAAAAAAATGCAGATATGTTATGGAGTGATTTTTATTTTCAAAGGATTGTGTTGTTGTTGACAACCATACGTATAATATATATATATTATCAAGATACTAAGAAAAAGATCTAAATTTACCAAAATCTGTATATTTTAATAAATGCATAAAGCTTTATTGTGTGCCTTTACATTTAAAAATCAAACAGGAACTAACGGATTTTTAAAGAAAGCCAGAGACAAATGTGTCTTAGTATCAGTTTCCATAGTAATGTAAAACTTTCAAATGGAAGACTAAACCAAAAAAATAAATAAAAAAAAAAATCCCATATAAATTTTGTTAAGCCACTCGGTACCTGCAGGTCTGATATTTTTTCAATGTTAAATTGAAGCTAGAGATGAACAAATCTTGTCTTAAGTGCTTCAAAATTTCCTTTGTAGAAGATCCATTTCAATGGGCTGACTTTGGTATTTACTTGCACTGTTGTGTAAAAAAAATGGTTATCAGTTTACACAATTAAAAAAAAAAACAAAAAAACCTAAAGCCAATGACCGCAGGTTGAATACTACAGTGCGAAGCCCCGGGGAGTGCAGATGTCTGCCCATCTGCTCGGGGTGCTGCAGGCACCCACCTTTCCCCGGGGTAACTGGGGTGTCACGGCACCCTCACCCCCCTGCACAGGCGCTGGGGCCGCGGGGAGGCAGGCATCGCTCGTGGGGCCACGGCCGCCTCTCCCCTTTGGCGTGCTCAGGGCCACCAGTGTCCCTGCCATGGGCTCCCTGTTGTTATTCCCGTTCCCTGGGGAATGGGGAGGCTGCCAGGCGCGCTCCCTGTGATGGGGAGCTGTAGCTGGTCCCAGTGGAGCCGGGGAGGACTCCGCTGGGGCATCAGGGACCACCACCTCCGCACCGAGGTGACCACCAGAGCTCACTCCCACCGCTCCACAGCTCATATGAGGCATGGCGTGGAGCAGTTTTTCCGTTCAGGAGAATTAGGTTTGACTCTATTTTGAGGCTTCGGGTCAGCAAACGAACACAAAAAGCCTCCAAGAGCCAACAGTGCTGCGGCCAACCCAGCCCGGGAGAACCCCGCGGGGGATCGCGGCGTTTTGGGAGGGTGCAAAGCGGGTATTTCAGCTTTGATCCTTTAAAAACTAGAAAAGTTTAATGTTCTTTGTGCTCCCTCCAAACGCTTCCCCTCTGCGGTGCCAGCACTAATATCCTGTCCCATACTTGGCCCCATCTCCTCGCGCCCCACAGTTGCAGATGTCTGTTTTCCCCACGGCTGCTCCAGGATTTTTTTGCTTTGTTTGGATTTTTCTTCTCTTCCCTGAAATAAAGCTTCTTCCTTCCTCTGAGCAGCTTGCACAGGGCCTTTGAAGGGTTGGATCTGGGATCGGCCACAGGTAACCTGTGACCACAGGCAGGGTGAGCAAAGCCCCAGCACCAGCTCCTGCTGAGGGTCCCCAGCCCTGCGTGCATGAAGATGCCAAGATGCAGCCCAAGGGTGTAGGCAGCAAAAAACTCACAAGTGCTGCCTGGCAGGGCTCATTCTTCATCGGGTCATGCACCACTGCCTGGGCCCCTCCAGCAGCACCAAAACCTTGCCAACCCCCCCCCCCCTCCATCTCAGACAAGTTTTCCTGTCCTTTTTCCCTCCCATTTTGCTCCAGGACCATTGGCAGGGCAACGTTCCAGCAGCTTGCTGCTCTGAGGTCTCCCATGCTGCCATCGGCCCCGGGGTTAACCGGCAGAGCCACCTCTCGGCTAAAGCCGCGGCAGGGACACACAATCCACAATCCCCGGGCAGCCTGCACAAGCTGGCACGTCTGTGCGCCACCCCTTCGCCCGTGGCACCCGCACATCAATGGCAGCACTTATAGCGTCTCTCCAGCGCATACAACAACTGCCTGTGCCCTGCCCGTGATGTAATGGGCACAAGTGTCCTGCCGCCGGCCCCGCGCCGCTGCCCGCCTCGGGTACATTGTATAGGATGGCAGCGATGCAAAGCCTGCACAACAGAGACGCGTTCAAGACTGCTCAGTCTTAAAGGCAGATGCTGGTGTTGTGTGTCGGAGCTGGAGGGTGATGCACAGGCAACCCGGGACGTGACCAGCCCCTCCTGGAGCCTCCTTATTCACTCCTTGTAAATGCTTCCACCTTGGTTTCCCACATGGAGGAGGCAAGGTGCGGGAGCTGCAGCATCCTTGCCCTTGGCTGTGTCACCCAGTTTGGATTCTCCAACTGAAGTAGACCGAGATGAAAGGACAGTCCCTAATCCACCAAGGCTTGACTAGCAGCCTTGTTTTCCAATTCTTCCCCGTCATCCCAAACAATTTGGTTGGTCCTCGCCTCTGCTTGCTGGATCCCTTCTCCTCCTACACGCAACACCACCTGGGCTCTCCCCCTTGTCCACGCTTGAGCAGCGGCTTTTCCTCTTTTCCTGCTCCTGAAGCCTGGCTTACACAAATTATTTGAACTGAGTTAACATCTCCGGGAACAGATGGGATTTTGTATCAACGTAATTAAATTGCTACAGCCGCTGGTAAGGACAGAGTTAGATCTTGATCTTACATGGTTTTAATCAAAGCGATGACCCCAGATCAGACTCTTATTTTAGTTGAACGCACTTCCAGCAACATGACTTCTCAACTCCAGCACGCCCAAGCAGTGCTGGGGCTGTGTCTCCACCGCTTCAGTGGGTTTCTAAGCCTCCCCGATGCAAAGAGTACCACGAGTCGGCACCGCTGGTACAAGCTGCTATCGGGAACATTGAAGGAACGAATGGATAAGACAGCGGTCAGTACCATGCAGGAAAATTACTCATATTTTAAATATTCCCCCAAAGAACCAAAAGGCCCTCTGAATTCCACAGCGGAGCAGAATCTCCCATCCTGAACTGCTATTAAAAAAAAAAAAATCTTTAAAATCATTGGGAAACCCCCGTCATGGAAAAGCTAGCTACGGAAACACAGAGGAAGGAAGGAAAAAAGAAGCCAGTGGTTGCAGGGCCTCGGTTATTTATTGTACAGTGTTTCACTGAAAGTACAAAGGCATCATCAGTATTCACCAGAATTGTATTGTAACAGGTACGTTATACTGCGTGTTAAAATGTGCTACTTTAATGATGCAAGACAGAACACAAATTTAGAGGAAGAAAGCAAGGAGTTTAAAAAAATGTAAAAATACATTTTTAGTAACTGATCTGTACAAATGAAAAAAAGAAAACAAACCAGAGCGCGGGGATTAGAGCCCCCAAAGTCATTTAAAACTATATAAAAAGGCACTGTTATCTACCGTGTAATTAGGACCTTTGGGTTCTGTTTCCTTCATACTGATGACTGTGGGGGTGGAGGAAATACTGTTATTAAAATGATCAAACAACTCATACAAAAGTATTTACAGAGAAAGGCAGAAAAAATTCCCCTACTCCTGTTCCAAAAGAGAAACATTTGCCCGGTTGGAGAGCACAGCCTTCCTCCCTACCCTCTCGCCCAAACCATGCCAAAGCAGTGACCTTGAACAGGGGAAAGCAAATAGCGACTTGGTGGGAGAAGCTGCCAGAGTCCTTCTAACAACGGGGAAGTGTCTCTCTCATTTCTGTTTTATTGCCTTAAACTCTCCCATAATCAGGGGAGCTGGAAAATAAAATAAAAACCCTAAAACCCACATGACAACCCCGAACCATCTGAGTCATCCTGGCTGCAAGAAGATGGGGCAGGTGGGCAGGCCAAAATGGGGAGGACCAAGAGGAAAGGCTGGCTGGAGCTTTCTTTCTAAGGAAGGGGGCAACAGATGGGGAGAATAACGCTTCAAACTACCAGACATTTGTGCTGCTTTTCTAAATCTTCCCCTGGGAGCCCGACAGCAGCGTGTGTCAGTAGAAGCAAACCCAGGGCACACAAACCCACCAGCCAAGGCATCCGACGGCAGCCATGGGACGTCCCCAAGATGCTTACACGTGAGCGCTCTTCGCGTGGGTAGGGGAGCTGGATCCCGAGGCGTAGTAGAAACGGTTTTCACCAAACGTCTGGGCATCTCCCGAGCAGCAGACGATGACGCAGCCGCCGAAGAGGCAGAGGGCAGAGCCGATCCAGCCCGTGTACAGGGAGTAGCCGAAGCTCATGATGGTGGTCTCGCGGTGGGCGCACACGGGAAACCAGATCGTTGCAACAACGCCGCACATGGCTGGGGAGGGATGGAAAGGAAAGGTAACTGCAGCGTGTAACCCCACCACAAAGCGCACCAAAGGGGAGGGAAGGCTCGGCAGGACAGGAGACAGAGAGGGAGCCCATCCCTCCTCCCTTGCTGTCCCACGGTGGGGCCCAGGAGCATCAGCATCGGGGGCTGGTCCAAGAGATCTCCGAGCAGGAGGCGGCGTGGGAGCCTTATGGGGAGAGAGATCACGAGAGAACAGCCGTCTCTCTCAGGCACCAACAAATGAAAAGAAAAGGAAAGAGGTTTGTTCCCTAAAAATATCTTTAAGGAGGAAGAATGAAAGTCATCCCTGAAATTGATGCTCCAGAGAGCTGCAGAATTAGGAATAGATTAGATATGAAGCAAGACCACAAAAGCGATATGCATCGGTGAGACAGTAAAATCGGTGGCCCGGAGTCAACTGGTTTAACTCACTATTTCTGCATGAACTCACGTGCTACGCCCTCAGCCCACGTCAATCAATCAGCATCACTGCACTCGCTCTACTGAACGGCCACATAAACATTAACGAAATACCCCAGCACTTTGCAAGACAGAGCAGGGTTTATAAGATACAAGCAGAAAATGGGCAGGGACAAAATAAGCAGCAGTACAGCATTGTTGGGGCTTTTTATGGAGAAGGAAATGTCTCACAAGTCTGGAAAGCAGATTCCACTCCCCGATGGAAAATTTCTCTGTATCAAGTGATGGGGACAAACCCAGCGAGGCTCTCCAGAAACCTATTGAATTGAAAAGAAATGGGACCCCATCTGAAGGGAAAACAGTATTTTACCTAGAGTGTACGGTACGTCAAAAAATGACTGAGGAGTTCAAATTTTGCTTGAAATTCCATAGTTTTTTTCCACGCAAAGCAGGTTCACGGCGGTGCTGCAAGGACTGCTAGGCAGGTGACCTGTCAGGTAGATACCCTCGGGACAGTAAAGCGGATCCAAATTCAGCACTTTGCAGGCAGCCAGGCTAGAGATCCCAATGGTTTTGGTGTGCAGCACACACGCATGGTTTGCTGCCAGCAGGGAGAAAACACGTGCCCTGCATTCTCCTTGTGCTCCACAAGGTCACACTCGCTACCCTCACGAAGGGTCCTACCTCCGTCCCGCAAAGTCCCCACAAGCACCGAGGGCAACGGGAGTTGATGGTGTTAATCACCTCACAGGAGCAGGTCCTAAAACAATACTTCTTTATGGCCTGTACATCTGAGAAGAATTAATCTGTCAATATTTACTTGCCTCTGGGACAAGCTGTGCAGGACTCCATCCTCGTGGCCATCAGAGAATCAGAGCAAAACAATAACAGGACCGTGGCAGCGTTACAGATTTCCACCGACCGCGTTAAAAGGTATCTGGAGGCAGTGTCAAAAAGTTAAGGTTGCAAGAGGAAAAAGAAAGGGGGTGAGATTAAAAATAAAATTGTTTAGTTAAAATGGAGAACAAACCATAGCTCCTGGCCGGTACAGCAGAAAACCCATCCCCAATAGCTGCAGTTATTGTGAGAGAAAATATTTTCTTATGGAAAAGAGAAGAACATTTGAAGGATGCTAATAAAGCCAGTAATAATTTGGGGCCTCCTCAAAGCAAGGACCCTGCGGCTTTGGAAGGAATTTTTGGAGAAGGCAGGGAGGGGAGAACAGCATTTCTCCTGCATGTGGATCAGTCCTGTGAAGAGCTCGTGAGCCTCTAACGCTTTAAAACAAAAATGTATCAGTTGGGAATCCACAAAGCATTCTAATGGGCTCCGGAAGAAAAGCTTCTTTGTTGTCCGAAAAAACACAATCATCTTTTCTTTTTCTGTCAGCAGTAAATATATATATGTATGTCCATAGACTATAAGAGCCTTATCTCTCCAGACCCTCCCCCACAACACAGGACCGAAGAAAACACTCGCATCGGGGTGAGGAGAGCTCTCAGGGACGCTGAGACAATGGCATCTCTTGTGCATGTGGCTCAAGTACATGTAAAACCACCTTATTTTAATGCTGACAATACTAGAAAGCTGTGAAACACAAGCCAAGGACTTTGCAGGGGTTAGTTTGACCTCTCTGTCTTCGGAGGCTACCAGCTGCCGTCAGTCACCAGCGACCCCGTTGCTCAGCAAGAGGAACGCCCTGAAACAGGACTGGATTTCATCCCTCTGCATAGATTAGATTGGGTTGTAAATCCTCCGAGAAGATGTGAAAAGGACGGTCTGCAACTGCAATATTTCTTGGTGAACTCAAGTTTTGGACTAGCTGTATCACAGAGAAAGGCTGAAAAAAAAGTTGATTTGCCAAGGAACTCAGAGGGATTGGAAAAGGCATTTTAGGGCAAGTTTCAAGTACTAAAATAGCTGCCTACAAGGATGATCTCTTTGAACAGAAATTATTAGCTCTTTTCTTTTGTGCTGATGCTGAGAGACCCTAAATACGAATGTCTTCACATAGTAGAGCTGCTGTAGTCCATGCAGTCTAGCAGAAAAGTAAAAGAAAATCTGCAAACAAACAGAAGGAATATTTTCTATTAGACCAACCATGTTAGCTGGAAAAACAGGCATGTTTTAGGGCACAGGCATACTGGAAAGCTTGCCTGCTTTTTGCAGCTAGAGTAGGCAGCCCTGTAAAAGCCACTGCCTCTACCTGCACAAGTCATCTCAGTAACAGATGGTATGGTTGTCCTTGCTCCGTCAGATCACTGTGAATCCACAGGGATACATCCCAGGCTCCCAGCATTTCTAAGTCCTTTTTGACTATGGACTTGCAGTGGCTCAATCCATTGAGCTGAAACTCTTAATATTCTACATTACAGGCGTATTTTAATTAGATGGAAGAACACATAGACAAGAAGCACAGAAGGTGCTCGGGGGGCTGGGGGAGATATAGAGCAAGGTTACTCTCACTCAAGGGACAGGGAGTCCCTGCCAAATTCCTTAACAGTAAGTTAAAGGCTTTCTGCAGAAGAAAGAATACTTCTTTTTCACAGCTAAATTTAATCATTCTGTGAGCTGCTGACTCAAAGTCACACAGATTTCTCTTTCAAAGCATTTGGTTGAAATAATAGATATCCATTATTACTTTTTTTCTATGTTCAAGGCAATCTTTTTATCTTGATACCTATGGTTTTAGAAGTAAATCTCATGCAGTGCCCAGAAGAACTTATTACTATCATTTATTTAGTATACAATAGCTAATGCGGTCATTTTGCAGTAGTAATTGACAATAACTAACGTATTTTTCCTCTGTGTTTTCCAGTCTCTCGAGTCCCTCACCTCCATTAGGAAAATGCCCCCTTGGTTGCCAGCACGGGGTCCCCCAAATTAGTATCAACAACACAGGATGGGCCAGGGTTTTTCCATCAGCACTAGCGTATGAAATGTTTTCATACTGGCTCAGAGCAAACCTCTGCTGATGGTTGTTTTCAGCAATAAATCAATTCTCTCGGATAGATAAGATCAAGCAAAGACATAAATACATCAGCAGGCAGGACAGGAGGGTGTGCACACAGGTTGCACTCTGCAGCCTGCTATTATCAGCAGACAGAAAAATCAATGGAATATCTGAGCCCATTGTTTTCCTGGCAAGTTTTCAACTTTTTTTTGTTCATTTGTTGTTTTTTTTCCCCCCACTGTTTCAACCCCTGTGTTCCTTTTTAATAAATTTCAGCGACAAACTGCCATCCCTTCCCCGAGCGACAAGTGAAGTTTGCCATGGGGCCAGGTCCCCCGCTCACATCTCCACTCTCTGCTTCTGCTACGTTAGTGAGCGTTTTGGGGTTTGTTTTCTTTTAACCAGAGCTCTGGGAGTTGGTCTCCGCTTAGAGGAAAAGGCTGGAACCCATGCGGTTGGGGAAAACGACGAACGAGAGTTCAGTGGCCAGAGGGTAAATAAGAACAGTCCAGGGCATATTACTTCTAGAATATGATTAATTTTAAGCCAGTATTATGACTTTTGAGGCCTGATTCATGCTTATTAAATGCTCTGGAATGGTAACACCTCATTTTGCAAATAACAGATCATTAATCAGCTTAAATAATGTCAAAGTCCCAAGCTCTGTACATTATTCTTCTTCCAAAGGGACTGTCTTGCTGATCAGCCTGGAAAAATTTGGGGTTTGTAAAAATAAATGTGGGTTGGTTTGGGTTTTTTTAAGAAAAAAAAACATAAGAGCAAAAGGATCTTATTTATTCTTCATTTGTGATCTGACAAAAAGACCATTATTGTAATTGTGACTAAAACATTGTGACCAGGCTGCTGTTCCCAGCCCGGATCATTCAGGACATCAGTGACATGAGCAAACCACTTCACCTGCAGATGCTTCAAAACTCATGGGGTAAAAAAATCAGTAAGAAGTCCAAATGTGACCCAAAGAGCATTTGTCTGCCAGTGTTTGTGTAAATACACATTTCCTTTCCTCACCGGATCTACTTAGTGGGAAAACCGTGTTCTGAGGCAGAGAGGAGCCTGGCTTACGGAGCACCGCAACCCCTCTCCTCCATCCTCTTACACCTATTCTCCTCCCTGGTGTCACACCAAAGCAAGACCAGGATAGGAGAGTGGCACACCAGACCCCAAACCCCTGGTGCAGCACTGCAAGACATGGGATTTCACTTGTTCTAATGCAGCATTACCCATTATTGCCACTGCAATTTGTTTGCCGCGTGTGCTGGTCCTGTGATTCTGCTGCCCTTCGGCAAAGCAGATTTAAGGGCACTACTCTTGCCTCCACGTCTGCAGCCGTGCAAACGGGGTTGATCTACAGCACAGTTCTCCTTGACTGGAACAGAAAACTCGTGTTTGTTTGCCGCAACGTGCAGCTCTGCCAGGCCTCCCCCATCCTGGGCAGGGGAAATCCGGCAGAGCAGACTCCTCCAGCACTAAAATTTCATTCACAGGCAGAAGAAAACACTTTTTCTTTCATTTTGCCAAGCCCAAATATGTGACTCAAGGTTTCAGGACGGGGATGAAGGCCACATTCCAACAGCTCTCTAACGTGGCTGTTCACAATCAGGGTGTCCTAAACAGGCCCTATAAAGCTGATTTTAGGAATTCCAGCTGTGGCAATGTGCCGTTAAACCCCACAGAGATTGAAAGGGCCCCTTGGTCTCAGTCCCCTAGATTTCGGATTGTACTATCTGCTTCTCACCAAGGCACTGGAGGAGAGACCGCTTGCAAGGACGGAGCATCCAGAGGACAGCCCCTCTGAGCGTGCAGCTATATCCAGTGCCCACTCGAAAAAAAAAATAAGGAGAAGAAGAAGAAAGCAGACGGGCATGATGTCAGCGCGGGCTGCCAGCGACCAGCAGCGCCAGACAAAGAGGCCACTTTCCCTCACCCCTCCTCCTCTGCCACACAGACGGGTAAAAACAAGGCACCGCAGCCTGTTGCTGAGATGACGAGGCTTCAAGAACATGCAGGTGTTGCGTTGGGGACAATGAGCTCCACAGTCTGCGCTGCTGAAAACAATCTCCTCCGCAGGCATGGAGGACGGGAAGAAATTCCCAGGGGAACTTGGAGGCCAAGGGCAAGGCTGGCCAGAGGGGGTTGGGAGGCAGAGGGGACATGCCAGCACTCTTCCCAGGTCCATGCCACCTCCCTGCTCCCTCCCCTGCTGTCCCTGCAGGACCAGCACCCCCTCAGCCGTGGGCTTCCCTTCCCACACACCCCAGCTTATTTTGACCCAGCTGCATCTGTGATGCCCAGGGAAAATTCAGAGGCTATCCTTTCCCTGTAAGCAGCTTGGGAATGTAGACCCTTTTCCAAAAACAGCATTACTTCCACAGCAAACCAGCTAACCAGTGCCTGCAGGCAGCTGCCTGTGTGCGATGGCTATCGCCCTGCTGCAGGCACAGGCGGTGGCCGTGCCCGAGGACTCCACAAGACAATGCACAGTAGGGTTTCACAGCCCTCCCCTCTTCTCTCTGCTTCGCTCCCTGCCTCCTGTCTTTGTCCTTCCACTCCTGTTCGTGCCTTTTGTTCGCCCCACAGACTACAGCGGTGCTGGAGAGCTTCAGGGTCAGCCCAGCCCAGACAACCATGCTTTCAGGTGAACGTGCTCAACCAGCTTGCACCACACCGTCCTGGAGCAGAAGACCTCCAGCTCTGCACACACGCAGGGCTGGCGGGCGCCTTACCCAGGAGGATGATGAGGATCCCTCCCAGCTGGGACCGCCGGTACTTGGCAGCTCCAGGCTCGTGGGCCACGGGTGGCAGGGGCAAGACCGTTATGAGCAGGAAGAAGATAGCGGGAAGACCCAGGACGGAGGCGGCGATCATCAGTGCTCGACATGCTTGGACGTACCCTGTTGGCAAGGCAAGGAAAGAGGATTTTGAGTATTCGGCACAAGAAAAGGAGAGCTTTGGACAAAGGCCCTGCTGGATTAGCTCCCAAGAGTTGCATGGAGTATGCGAGAGAGGTTCAATCCTTTGTGTAAGCAATTCAGTCGTCACCAGGCGTAAGAGAGTGAGGCTGCAGTACAGTGGGTAGTGCATGAACACGGGATATGCAAGCTCAAAATTTTCCAATGAACAAATAGCCCGGCCTGGAAAACACAAGCTCTCCCTAGCAAGACACTGGGAAATATGGGAAGGGAAAGTAAGAGAAACAGCTCGGAAGGAGTTTTCCTATATCTTCACAAAGACAGCCTTGGTTAAATAATAAGAATTAAAATCTTAAAGAACAGCTTGCTGTGAGCAGAGGGGGTCCATAGTCACCCAGAGGAGGGCTGAATAGTTGAAGATCCACTACTGAAACATGCAGGTCCATGAGATACTACCACCAGCTGCCCTGAGGAGCTGAGGACTGGTGACCTGGGAGGAGGAAGGATGCTCACCAGCCACAGCCACGTCCCGATGCTGCACCTCAGGGGTCCAGCCTGCTAGCGGGGTTTCAGAGGAGACCCGTGGCTCCAGCTGACCGCTGGCACAGCTCTTCCTTAGGGAGAAGAAATGACTGCACCTTGCAGAGTTGCTTGAGTTGCCATAACCAAGGGCCACGTTATTCCTCTGGGTCCGTATGGACATCACGGGATCCCCTGGCATTTCATCAGCTACCACCCCTCTCCTGCCTGCCCCTGTGCAGCAGCAGCCTAACACAAGGCAGCGAGGAACAACGGGGTTGGGACTGTGGGTGTGCTGGGCAGGGATGTGCTATTTCTACCTATCTGTGAGGGACTTTGTATAGTGATGTATCAATCTTTTTATATTTTTATCTATATTATGTATATATAATTTATTTTACATATATTTTTAATATATAATTTATAGATAAAATATAAAAAATATATATAAGTAAACAAAACCAGGTCATTACTTGCATGTAAAAGAAGAAGAATCAGTGTCAGATTTGCTCCGGTGCCTGGTGAGTCTCTGCCAGCTCTTGGGACAGTCCCAGCAGAGCGACTATGCTGGCTCTCTTTCCCCTCTTGTTAACAACACGAAGCTGCCACATGCAGACACGGAGTTTCATGAGGCCTCATACAACATCAGCAAACGGGGGCCTCAAGCAAGTTCCGCTGACATACAGGTAGGGCACCCGGAATGAGGATTTTACTGTTCCTGGAAATGCGGACTCTGTGTTTATTGAATATTTGCTTGATTTTTTCAAGAGGAAACTTAACAAAAAAAGCTACCTGAGGAGTTCAGGGCAAAAAATGAGACCCTAAACAAAGGAGCTGGTGGTGCCCGGTGTGGTTTCTGTGCAATCAATCCCAATTAAACGAGAATACAAACACATTCGTTTCAAAGACTTGACTCGGGCAATGAAAGACTCTGAATACATTTCAGCTGTCGGGCAGACCAGGATAAATTTCTCTCCCATGGAAAGCTGTGGGTATCAAATGGGTTACAAGCAGAAGCATCTTGTTTTGTGATTTGTTTCTGCTGGAGAGAAGCATTGCTTTCGGCTGCTGAAAGACCTATTTACCTATTCATTCAATAATGTTTCTTCAGGGCAAGCCTTGTCTCTGTCTTATGTGCTGGATCATATTGAACAATAGTAGCAATAAGGAAGGTAAACCTACTAAAATAAAAGCATACATACACAGAGAAAGGGAAAACAGGAGCTAGTCTAAGAGATTCAATATTGCTACGCACTGTGTGATACAGAGAAGGCTCTGTAACAGAGAGAAATTCGGGAATAATCCTTCTAACCTCTTGTGAAATTATTTTCACAACAACTTAAACAAATAAATAAGGAAACATGAAAGAAAACTACAAGGAATGGTTATTTCTACCCTGTCAGCTTTGAAAGGGGCATCTCTGAAATGCTAGAGGAGGTGCGATCTAAACCATAGCAGAATGAAGCAGCACCACAGAGTTAACAGTGAGTGAAACAGGTAAGGTCATTAACTAAACTTACAGGGACCACACAGGACTTCGGCAGGTTTAATTAACTCAAAAGATGTATTAATACTGATGAAACACCTTGCTTCATTTTTGCTTTGCACTAAACTAGATGAAAGTTACTGTATCATTAGAAAATATCAAGGCAAGTTAAATGTAGTTACAGCTGTTTGCCATGTAAAAGTTCTGTCTTGCCTTAGAACGCGTGGGAAGCACAGGACCACCGAGACTAATGACAATCTTCCAAAAGATTGAGAGCCATAGCAGCATTAATGATAGATGCTGAAAGATTCGTTATGCTCACAATCATTTTAAGGAATAGAACCTTAACATCTGCAATAGTTCATCATCGTCTCAAAGCAAAACTCAAACATATCTCGAAGTACTTTACTGTCCCTCAATATAATATATATGTTTTGCAATGCAATCTAGACATGAGATGTGAAAGGAATAGCAAGTGTTTACTAAGAGCAATGATTAAACATCAACTGGACTTTAATAGCCACAGATGATACCTAGGTATGATTAAAACCAGGTATAATTTAATGAGAATCACGTTAAGAACTATCATACAGATTCTTTAGCGTATTTGTAATGTATATTGAGCATAATTGAGACGTGATGGAGCATCTCCTGTGCTGATGAAGTTGAAGGAGCTTCGCCATCAATTCCTCCGGCAGCAGGACCTGCGCTGCTCAGAGCACGGCTTCGCTCCTCACCTCCAGGTGGGAAGGGGAGGACGGGGCACACGTACCTGGCAGTATGAGGATGTCCACGAGGGGCTTGCAGTGGTAGAGCCCTGTTGCCATGACACAGTCTGCCCACAGCCCCTTGGATCCCAGCTCATCCATTTTCCTGCAGGTGGTAATGGTGTAGCCGCAGGTTACCACCCAGTCGTTGGTGGCCGTTGCCACAACCACCCCGATCCACCCGATAAAACTGCAGACAAATCCGGCCAGGTGCAGGCAGGTGGCCACCATGTCGATCCCTTGGTGGGGCAAGCTGGACGGGAGAGTGTCCACAGGGGCTCAGCAAAGCCGGCCGGCGAGCTCCCTGCTGCGGATCCCGGCTGCTGGGACCCACTGCGAGCCGCGAGCCGGAGGGACGGGGGTTTGGTAGGACGAGGTCCCTGCTCAGGCACTGCTGCAGGCACTCGGCTGCCTCTGCCCAGCTCCCGCCCTGGGAGGGATCAGAGCTGCCTCCAGCCCCACAACGCATGGGAGGAGCGAGCGGGGAGCCCCAACTTCTGCCCGTTCATCAAGGGAGTCGGAGGGGAAGGGGGGTGTGGAGAGGAGGAGATGCAGAATTACACCCACCCCTGCTTGAAAAGCAAACCAGACTGCTGTATTCAAATGCAAACAGCTCGACCATTCAAAATTTAGCATCAAGGGAGAAAAATTAAGGCAGTGTTTTCGAGCTGAAGACAAATGATGACACTGGTACCTCTTCATGGAAAGACAGGGCAAGAAACGTGGTGGACAGAGTTACTCAAGAGTGGAATTGTTCATGTCATCAAAGCCATCAGCACGGCTGCAGAAAAAGGACAAAATCAGTCCTGGGTCTTTCCTGATGTTTTCAGTAACTGCTAAAACATAAGAGCCCCATCGCTGCATTCTCTGCTCGTGCCTGGGTTTTCAGAAGTAGTAACTAACACTCACGAAGTCTTAAGTAAGTGTTTAACGGCACCTTATTTCCACTTTTGAATGCTAAAATTAAAATGAGCAGCTTTTTACTCAGACTCATTACGGGTGTAAATTTTAGTCTACGGGATAAAACAAGGAACAACCCACTTCAAAACGTCCAAAGAAGAAAAACTTCCCAGCCCGTTCTGCATCAGGAGAAATAGGCAGGCAGGCTCTTTTCCCAGTTTCACTTTGTGTTTTCACACAGGCACACGTACGTTACCGGGTGCCAGCACACCCCTAGTGAAATGTTCATCGTTGTGCCTCCTTCCAGGGCTTTTAATTTTGCGAAAGGGAGGTTTTTTGGGTCTGGGCGGATCGGACGTGCCTGGAGGGACCACTAGCGGAGAGCCGGCCGCACTGCAGGGGGGAAGGGGGAAAGGGGCAAGGAGAAGGACAGAACGACGAGTTTGGTTCATTCCTAGAGCTGTTAGTGAAAAAGAAATATTGGAAGCTACACCCCAAGATGAACGTGCCGGGAATGAAATATATCCCGCTCTTCATCCAACAGTATTTTTTCCCCATTCTTTAGCAAATGAGGTGAAAAACATGAACAAGACCATCCCAAGCTTCCTTTGTCACATGTTCCCGAGATTCAAAATTCAAGGAACCCGAGGCCGCAGTTTTGTTTTGCCGAAGCTTCAACTGAACATTGGAGTTACTACAGAAATAATTGAAAATTACCTTTGAAGAGGAGCTTTTGTAATAAACAGAAATCTAATAGTTGTGTTCACACTTGATTTATATTGTTGGTTACTCCTTGCTTTGTTGCTTTTGCGAAGCAGTGCTGCCAGCTGGCCTTCCGTCGACTTTCCTGATGCGATTCCACCTTTCTACGGAGCTTATTCTTCTGCTGCTCCCGCTTCAGCTGGAACAAGCTGTTACTTCCATCCAACTGCCATTTTCATGTTGTCCAGGTTTCAGTTCCAGATGGATTTAATCCTTCTCCAAACAATATCCCTGCTTATTTATTATTCAGGAGATAAACTTGTCATCTCTCGAGCGAAACTAGTGTTGTTCCGCTTCTTGGACCACGCCGTTGCGTCGGACAGATCACGCGTCACCTCCTGCGTTTGGAAGGAGACGAGCTGACAAATGAACGCGTTCCTGCCTCTCCCCTTCACTGACTCCGTTTGCATTTTTTCAGTCTGGCATTTATTTCCTCGATCGAACTTTATAGCTTTCTGTAAATTAAGTATCCGATCTGTTCGTATCAAGTATAAATGCACGTGGCTTAATACTGCTTTCTGATTAATACCAGGCATAAGGATACTTAACCACTTTGGGATGACTGATCCCAGCCTCTATCATCTAACGATAGTGTCACCACACGGTCCTTTGGAGGGTAAAAACCATGCGTTTTATCTAAATCATGCTAATACTTAGATTTCTAATATATTTCAAAGTATTTCATTTTTCTTCAACGCACCGGAAAAGTTTGCACCATCCTATATCCCATTCTATCCCAAGGCTGAGGTGAGAAGCATTTTACCCGGTGATGGCGCAGGCGCATCCTAATGTACAAAACCCGGCTTTTTTAAAGGCTGCAGGATAGGAGTCGGAAGGCTGCGGACACATCCCACTGCAATTCAGTCTCCTACAGTTATGAGACCAACTCCTTAACCACCAAAGCTTCTTACGCTGCCACGTCTTCCTTCACAAAATGCTTCAAAGAGTGCGCAGCAGCTCAACTGACAAGAAGTAAATTTTACACGTCGGTAACTGGTACTATTCACCGGTACTCAACCTGGTGCCCGTAGGCCAGAGGGGAATTGTTTCATTAATGTCAACAGGGACAAGAAACATTTACTGTTTTGTTGCTGTTATAAATAACACTACCAATATTTAAGTGAATATGTTGGTATGCTACAAGTGAGCAATGATTCAGTAGATCAATAAAATAAGAAACAAAGAATGACTTACCAGCGATATGCTAAATAAACTGATGCACTTAGGGCAATATTCTTAAAATTTGCCATTTTTAAAGCAAGTGCTACACACGCATTTATTTCAGCACCAGTGTGAACACCTTAAAAATCAATCTTTTTACCCTGCCACTCGAGCAGTTTTTCCTTGATCAGCATTGTTTTCTCTGACAAATGGCACGCGTTGCAATTAGTCATACTTGCAGAAGCTATCAACACCCTATGACTTTTTCCTCATACAAATGACTCACCTTGAACTTTTTCTTTGCAGGGTTTTCAGCCCGATAGCTTCTCCCTTGCTTGGAAATACAGCAGTATAGAAATATAACATGGGATGCAGAAATAAACAGGGTTAACTCTTTAAGTGGTACAGGTAGTTGTTCATTTTCTTCCATACTAAAAGCGGAGCTCATCAAAATATTACAGATTTCATCTTCCTCCTGTTTAACACCGCTCATTTCTCTCTTTGGTTGTAAAATACAGGCAAGTACGTGGTAGCATTAAGGGTTTAAGAGTCTGAAACAATCAGGATTTCCTATATGCCAGACCAGTACCTTAAAACAAGGACAAAACATTTTTGCTCCGATTTGAGGGGAAGGGAAAACATCCACGTGTGTGTATGGGACTGCGCTTGCTTATCGGTCAAAAAACCCCAAACGCTTAGTAGGAATAAAATCACCTGGAAAATCTCCAAAATATTATTTGTAGTACAAGTTATATTTATTTACTACAATCCACATTTTTTTTAAGTGACCAACAGAGCATAGCCTATTGCTGTAAGTGGGGGAAGCTCAACCTGAAGAGAAGACCCATTCATACATAGCTGACAGGAACAGCTCCCTCTTTTCTTCTTGCCTCCTTCTTCCCTCTTCTATTCTGAATTTTCTGCTATTTCAGCTCCCTGATGGTAGACAAAAACGTTAAGCAATGTAATCGCGTGATTTACAGAAACGAATAACTCCTGAGAGTCACCGTAGGGCGTATTTTCCATCAGCAAATGAAGTATAATTCTCATTTCTGATTTTAACTTTTTATAAACGTCAGCATTTTATACGGTGATGTGTGATTTTTATCTTGTTCCTTACTAAGCTATTAAGGAGAGGTGTGAACAACTCAAACACTGCTCGAGTAGTCAACTAGGAACAAACGCTGTGCACCCACCAGAGAACATGCCAAATACCCAAGTGGTTGTATTTACACGTATGAACACCAACTTTATGCCAAGACAGGTAGAAATCTCAGGGTCGAGAACATCTTCAGCTGTAAGAGGTTTAGGAAACGGACTCATGGTGAGGGAGGGCTATTGATCCTGCAGATTTTGCTAAAAATGCCCTTTAGAAAACTGGGGACCTGCTGCAGGCAGTGGGAGTTCTGCTAACAAGTTTCATTGCAATCCGGTTTTAATTTACTGTCATCAAAGCAAGGAAGGCTCTGTCCTCCTCGGAAAAGCACCACTGTTAACCACCTTTCAAAAAGTCAAGTTTAGAAGTCAGTGTTCAAAAAGATGACAGAGACAAGTGTTCTGACATTACAGTTCTTTATTTGTTTCTGAATCCACAATCTATACAGGTATTTACAAGGCATGAAAATGGATAACAGCACAAAATACAATTGAGGTATAAGCTAAGAGCACAGTATGTCATGTTTCAATAAATATAATTCAAAATTTGTAAACTAAGTGACCAGATAGATGCATCTTGTTTACTAAAACCATATAAAATATCTGTTAAATCTCACGTGAGGTAGAGGACAGTTTTGTGTGTCATGTAATGCAACCACAGCAACTCTAACGATAAGACTGTACATCATTGGCAAAGTATTAAAAATTGTTGAATGCACTGATCATTTTTCACAGGTTTTTACTACGGTTTCAGAATAGTCATTCAACCTGTTGCCTTGAGCTAATGCAGACTCTGTTGTTTTGCAGCTACTTTCTGTAGTTTATTAATTAAGATAATTATACTGGCATGTCAACATCAATAAATACTTTTGAGTGAGTATGAAAACACAAAAACAGATTTCGTCAATCACAGAAAGCAACATAATAGCAACAGAATATTTTAGACCAACCTTTTATTATTTCCTAGAATTAGTTTAAATACAGTACAGCTGTGCTTTCCTTTAAGTGAGGTATCTATATTTGAAGAAAAAAATTCAATTGATATTGTTACATTTAATCAATTTTCAAATAGCAAAATTTTATACCATTTGTTTGCTGTGCTTGATGAAGTGCTTAAAACTCATTTTTCAAGCATTTTCCAACTGAACCACTAACCCTGAAAAAAAACCAATTTTCTGAGTAATGGAGACACACTACAAAATTGTCGTGCAATCTGCAAGCAATAACTGCCTTCACAAAAGCTAAAAAATGGATGTCTTTTTGAAATAGAAATATGCAACAAACAGATAATTCTACAAGCTTTCTGCAATGAAAACTGAGGAATACTCGCACTACAAATGCAATAAGCAAAAAGAAAATTGAAATTTGCAGCTTTCTGCTGCTTCCTAGTGACAGCTTAAACA